GCTGAAACACTTTGGGAAAAAAAGATAAGGGAGAGGTTTTTAATGCTCCCCTGCTCTATTTGCCCAAGATCCCATGCCTTGTGTGCTAATGCGAGGGCTGCTACTCGTACTTTTAAGCATGGTACAATTGAATAGGAACCTGCATTCTCTTTGAGCTAATGGAAAGTCACAGTGCAGGTATCCAGCTTCTGGGCATGAATAAATCATCAAGGGTATGAATTATTCAGTGAGCATCCCCACAGCATGTGCTACATTCAGACTCAAGAGGCAGAATCCTCATTGTGTGGGTTTTTATCCCCCAAAATTACAAATGCACGACAGGCTAATGAATCTATATTCAAATTCAATATTCAAATGAAATCTTGGGAAATTAGAAGAATAATTTAGTAAAAAAAACAACAGAACAGTAAAAAGGTGCATGAAAGAGCTGAGGTACTTCAGCCTGGCTACAACTACAATGATCAGATGTTCTTCTTAGCTCGGTGACACCATTGAATCAAGCTGTCCACAACAGTCAGAATCACACTGGGAAATATGAATAAACAGTGGCTCAGGAAATTGGAAACAGCGGTTGGAGGAAAGAGCTGAAATGATGTGGGCACACAAACAGGACAGAAACCGACCTGTGCCTCTAGCATCTTGTGTGCGGTTCTGGGGGTAAGTTAGAGGGGGCATCACCAAACCAGACATGAATCCACTCCGACACAGGCTGGAAGAAATAAAAAAGCCCAATGCACTCAACAGCCAGGAAATGGCTGGTTCATCCCTCACAGGAAATGACTCACCCGAAAGCAACTGCGAGGAACAGCGAAGACAGGGAAGTTCTGAAATAACACGAGCTGATAACAGCATAACACGTACAGATAAGTCTCTCATTTTGTCATTCATTAGCAAGGAGGCAAGAAAGGCAAAACTTCAGATCTTCTGTTATTCTTGCAATTTTAATTTGGTGTAAATACTTGCAGCACAAAACCAGACCAGGGGACAGACGGCTCCAGTGCTGCTGAATGGTGGATATTGTAAAATGGCAGCACTAATGAGAAGTTTCATGTGCAGATAAAATTGCTTGCAAAGTGCTATCCATGCCTGTCCTTGGAAGGGAAGCATCAAATTGCTGTGTGGCACAGCAAACACAACATTCAGTTTTGCAGCTCGAGCTGCTTTGAAACTTTTTTTTTTTTTTCCTGTCCAATATTGAAAATATATAAAGCTCAATTCCAAAACAGTGCATCAATCACCTACCAACTGGTCCCCTTTTTGATAACTCCACAGTGCCAAACTCTTCTGGATCAGTGGAAAAAATACTTCCTTTGCTAATGATGAATGCTGCTGGTAAAACTGAAAGCCTACCGTTAGGAAACAACCTCAGCACCGAGCCAGCACAGCTTGTGTGCTCACCCCTCTTCCTCCAGTAACCCAGCTCTCTGCCTGTGCAGCTTGTAACTCCTGTCCTGCAGTGCTGCTGGTCCCCCTTCCTCTCCATTCCTCAGGCTGATCAGCAGACACACAGGTCTTATTTTGGAGCGATGAACACAGCAGTGAGATTGCTCTTTCTCTTCTAGCTCCAGCCTAACCATTTCCAGGGCTGTGATGTGGCATCATGAATGATGCACATAAGAATGTTCTTGGCATCCCAAGATGTTGCTAAAGCTGCAAATATTCTTTTAAACAAAACAGCCGTGTTAATTGAAAGTGGCTCAAAAGAAATAAGAGCAAGAAAAAGAAACCAAGCTATTTGAAACATCCCCTGCCACTCCAGATTGCACTGGGGCTATACTATAGCAGAGTTATAAATGAAAGTGTTTCCTGGTTTAGAAGTTTGCAAGGTACTGAGAATAAAAAGGGAGAGGATGGTGCAGGAAAGGAATGTTTTGTCATTGAAAGCACTATCCAGGATATACACTACAGACAGTTCATTTTCCTCATCAGAGACCACATTTTTGGAGGGTTCCTGTTTTCAGTTCACTGATAGAAGGGCAGGATTTAGCAGTCAGCAGAAGAGGGAAGAAGCTTTCTAGTTTGCCAAGAATACAGTTACACAGAAAAGCATCCTGTGACCGTAGCACAGGCTGCAGGGCTATTTAAAAACACAAAGAAAAAAAGGCAGGAAAAAGGTCCTTTTCATTTTAGAGGGTTCTCTTCCCAGCATGGTAAATTAAACTCCAGATAACGCAGGCAGGAAGGGCTTAGAAAGAGAAAAACCTGGGTGTGCCTCTCCAAGGCCTTTCTGGCCATGTGAGTAACTGGAGCTGGGGGAGGGTGGGACCTTGTGCTGGATTCTACCAAAGCGGCTGATTCATGTTTTTTTCCTTCTCCTCCTCTTTTCTTTTTTCTCCTTTCCTTTTTTTTCTTTCTCACGTGGGCTTCTTTTCCAAAACCAAAAGATACAGTCAGGTCATTCTCGCAGATACTGGCGTTGTTTGGTTTGGGGTTTTTTTTCTTCATAAGGTATTATCTTGTTCTCAAATGCATTTTCCTGTTTGGCCCAGAGAAATGCTGTGTTACACAATAGCATCCTTACTCAGTTTGCTACCATTGTGTCAAAAAAGATACTGGAGTTTCAGTTAAGTATTACAGTAAGATGATAAAAGGCTGCATCATCAGCATTTCTGCTAGAGAATCTGAGTAAGCTTGCACAAATTTTAACAGTTTTTTTAGTTAGGCCACAGGTATTTGAAATATAATAAACCCTTGATGGCGTCCACCCATGTTTGCTTTTCCAAAGATATCTGAAAAGCAGCTGGAATATCTGCACTTGCAATAAGCTAATTTCAACAGCCACCAGAAAGTGAGATGTTAGATAATATGAAATGAAACTCTTCCATGTGAAACATAGCTTAAAATAGGCACAGTTGGAGAAAGTGTGTTATGGCTTGTGAGGCAGGAATCAAATTCCTGCTCTGCTTTGATCAAATCAGGTTTAACTCTCTGGCTCTCAGCTCAACGACTCTAAAGCAAATCACACAATCCCATCATTTTCCCCTTCTCTGACTCATCTAAGTTGTAAATCTCTTATCAGTGGCACAAGCTAAGCTTCCTTTCATATGCAGTGCCTAGCAAAATAACTTGCATTTCAGAGGGGGCCTTTGGTCGCCTGTAGTAATAAGGAAGAACATAACTCTTCTCCATTTTGAACTTTACTGTTGCAGCAAAGGGCAAATGGCTGGGAGCCCGACGAAGCTCTTGATAAAATCTGAGCTCATTGGGAGCTCTTGCGTGTCACAGACGGTGCCAAGAGTGAGCTGACAAGCGAAGCATCCCACCGCTGTAGGAGAAAACAGGGCTCTGGGCTATAGGAACCAACACAGGAATACGTATTCAAGAAGAACTTACAGCTGGCTTCACATTTTGAATGTTGTTTTTTTTTCTTTTTTCTTTCTCCTATAGTTACCTGTCTAGTGTAGGCTTCAGAAGGAAATGAGAACGCAGGAGGCATGCCCATACCTGTCAGAACTACCTAACATTAAACAGAAGCGCTGCCCAAGGACACGACTCCATGTTTCATCTGCGCTTTTAAATCTTTGCCCAAACTCTTTGCAGGTGCCACAGACACCGTTGTGTTACAGCTCCTGTGCTTCCATCCATGTGTTTGTTTACCACTGACAACAGAGGCAAGACTGGCAGATGTGTACAAATGTTTTCACAAAAATGTCAGCAGTGGGTGTGCGAGTGAGGGATGAGGGATCCTTTCTGCAGCAAGACCAGTATTAGGTTGCCTAGAAACACTCAAAACAGGGCTGCAGCTAATGAAGCCAAGATCAATGTCGACCGAACGTTAGATATTTGATTCAGTGCTACACCAGGGACTCGTAGGGAGGCCTGGGACAATTAATTTTTGTGCTGCAGTCAAAGGATAGGGTTATGACAAGCGAGGCAAAGACAATAAATAAAGCTGGTAGAATTCCCAGCGAGGAAATATTGGCTATATTTAAACAGAAACACGCAGCCTTTCATCCACATGGCGTGAGCAGGAGGAGCAGCCCAGGGCTGCCAGGTGGGAGTGCAGTGGGGTGAGCACTGCTCAGCCTGCTGGGACCACCTGAACCACAGGGATGCTCCCAACTGCTCCTTTTTCTCAATGATTTTAAAGGATCCGCATCTCTTGTCACGCAGAGGAGGTGGATGGTTATGGTTAACATATGCATATGTTTGCATTGCATATAAACTCGCTGTAGCTGACCCAGCACCTGCAAAGGTACTGCTTTTAGAGGTTTGGAAAAGCGCAGATTTTTACCTTAGCCTCTGGGAGATATGCAGCAATTACACACATTCAGCACGAAACACGCTTATCTAAGTAATCACTGACTGGAAAAGAGGTGTTTCTGTCAGCAAACGTTGCCAAAGCTGCACCTGAGGGGGCCGCCGCCTCAGGCAGCACAGCCTTACCTCAGGCACTCCCTCTCTGCATAATCCTTATCCTTAAGACATAACCCGCAAATAAACAAGCAGATTTTACCCTAGATTTTAAGAAAAAAACACCTCCTAAGTGCTGTCTAACTTCATCAGCCCCCCCCCACCAGACTGGCAATTAACCTAACTGATCGAGTCTCCCTTACTCGAGATGGCGGCTGACAGCAGCGCGCGGCTTCTCTACCCGTAGCCAAGATGGCAGCGGCCGCTCCCCGCACAGGAGGCTGCAAGGCGCCGGGCCGCGCCGCGGATGATAACGCAATGTGCACGTTGGCGCCCTTGCCCGTACTTAAGATGGCTCCCGATTAGGTTATTCCATGCCCTGCCCCCAATCAAGATGGCGGACGCGTGTGGCATTTCGGCATCCTTCCCGCTCTCAAGATGGCTCCTCCCAGCCGTGTCCCGGAGCCTATCCAATCGCGCCACACACTGGGGCTGAGAACCGCCCCTCGCCCCGCCCGCAGCCAATAGGCGCGTCGAGAAGCTCCAGGGCGCCAACCTCCGGAGGAGGGTAATCCCCGCCCCGTCCATCAAGATGACATCTCCAGTAGCCAATGGGATACTGGCGCGGGTGAGGCGGGCCGGGTGGCGCCGCCATTTTGTGAGTCTATAACACGGAGCGGTCGGGCTCGTTCCTGTTATTCCGGCGTCTCCACTCCGTTCCCTGCGGGTCTCCTCCGTGTGCAATGGACGGGTGAGTCTCGGCCGGCGCGGGCGGGGCTGCGCCGGTAGCCGCTCCAAGGGACCGCGGGGAGCGTTACGGGATCCCTCCCGGGGTCCGAAGGAAGGGATCGAGTTGTGGTACCGCGCCGGGGGCTGGGGCGGTACCGGGAGGGGGGGAGGGGGCACCGTGGGCGCGGTCGGACCGCGAGGGGAGGGGAAGGAGCCGGAGCCGGGGGGTGCAGAGGCGGGGGTTCTTTACCACCGGACGAGGAGCGGCTGTGGGGGGCACTGAGGGTCCCCTCTCCCCCACTCCCAACAGACCGCCACGGTTGCGGGGTTCGGGAAGGCCGCGCTTAGCGCCGCACCGCTCCGTGCCCGGAGGTGGGAGCGGCGGCTCCGCCCTGCTGGGTGCGGGGGGCCCGGCGGCGCCGCGTGGGCGTGAGGGGCTGGAGCGCGTCCCCGCGTGCGCGCGCGTGTGTGTGGGGGGAGGTGGGGTGGCGGGCGCGGGCGCACCTGGCGACGGGAGCGCGCACCTGGCGACGGGAGCGCGCACCTGGCGGCGGGGGCGCGCTTGCGGCTGATTCGCTCCCATTGTCCGCAGCGGGGAAAGGCGCGGGGCTTCCCGTGTTTGTGGGCGACTCCGGGGCGTGGAGGCGATGTGGGAGCGCGAGGACGCTCTACGTGGAAGTAAAGGCAACTGAAACCCTTCTGAGATGTGGGGAGGGAGGGGTTGCGGAGCCACGGGTTCGGCTTTTCGGTTTTCGGATCCTTTGGCACGGAACTCTCTGCCCCGCTGGTTCTGCTCCGAGGTTTCCCCCGTTACAGTCGTGTTTGCTTTAAGGCTAACTGTGTTTTCCTGCTGATCTCGTTCCTTGAACTGATTCTCGTTCTTTGCTGAGCGCGGTGTTGAGCTGCGGTTCTTCCCAGAGCCCCCAAAAAGCAGTCTGTGCTCCCAGAGCCTTTAAAGCACAGCGAGCCCAAAGCGCTTCTCCTCGTGCATCGCGTGGCTTGGGACATGGTGTGCCCTTTACACTGAAATAACGTCTGTTTTCATTAAAGAAAAAAAAAAAATCCAACGAAAACCACATCCCAAAACTGTGCCTTACAGTACATGCAGTTGGGAAAGCTGTTTTGCTGCATATGTTACAATAGCTCTTAAGTTACGAGTCTGAATTATTCCTGGCCTATGGAGGATCTCTGTGTGATCTGCTTACCCCAAGAAGGCCGTCCCCTGTTAGAGTTTCAGCAGCTCCTCTGGCTGGCACTGTGTGCCCTCAGCAAAGCTGTGATTTCTCCTACCCTAAATGATGCCTGGTTTGGTGTCTGGTTGATCCTTACTGCGTGCAGGGAGTTTGTATGGAAAGGCTGTTTGGGGAGGGATTCAAGTTTTGCCCTGGTACTTAATCTTTTATCTGTTAGTGCAGGAATCATTTCATTTTATGTTAAGAGTAACTTAATTACTGGTTGTATTGCCAGCTCTTCTAGGAAGTGAACTATGAATCCCATATTGGAGCTTGTTATATGATAAGAACACAGCTGAAGATATAATGTGCAGGAGAAACAAAATATCACATTTAATAAAAAATAGATAAGTGCTGCTGCTAGTTCTGTGCAGTTTATCACACGGGTTGCAATTCTGGGCTCGGTAGTGCTTGGCATGTAAAAGCTTTTCCTGTTGGATAATTGTAAAGGCTGTCCCCTGCTAAGGCGACTTTATGTAAAACATTTCCTGTGCCTGAGGCCCGCAGGAGGAACAGGAAGCAGGAGCAGTTGCTGGGGGTAAGGCTGAGAGTTTTGGAAACTGGAGAGATTCCTTCTTCGTAATGCACTTTGCTGGAGATACCTTAATGACTGAAACCCGTGGGTCATTGCATGTATTTTAATTGAAGAAATGTATACTCATAGCATATGTAGCAGTTGCTGTAGAATGATTCTCTAAGCTGGTACGTCCAGGTGGGTGTGATTTGCTCGCTAATGGTGGCCCTCGCAGTGCAGCAGAACCCGTCTGAACCTGGGCAGAGCCTGGAGAATCCCAACCCCTGCCAGGCTGCAGCTCCAGCTGCAAACTGCTGCGGTGTGATGACATGGCAGGTTGGGTTGGAGGAGGAAGTGTGAGGAGCTGAGCTGGCCTGGGCGTGCGTGACAGCTCATTTGTGGAGCTGGGAAGATGGGAATGGCTTAATAATAAGATGGAGCAGTATTTAATTCCCTAAAAGATGAAGTGGTGCAGAAGGGCAGGGAAGGAAGAACGAGTCTGTAAGTTTTCTGCTGTTATTGGCTGAGGTTTGAGTGGTGTTCTTGAATACTTCAGATTTCATGTTGTCGTAAGAATGACTGCAGTGCTCTCTGTTAGTGCTGTGTCCTTCCTGGCTGCAGCTAGCCATGCTGGGTGCTCTGCCCTGGACGTTTGGACTTTGTCAGCGATCCTGTTTGAAAGATAGGAGCTGAAATGGGTGGTGCTGCACGTGGTGCTCGTATCTCAGCTGTGTTACGTTGCTGCTTTACCACGAGTTGGATTTTATTTATAAAAATAAGTAAAAAATCTTCAGTGCAAGGGTGTAATTGAAATCCTCTGCCTGCCTGGAGCTGGAAATAACATCCAGGTGTGGTGATGCTCTGGAAGGTTCCTGGGGTGCAGTGTGACAAGCTGATCCCAGTCTGTGGGGTTCATGGCAGTGATGGGTGCTGCTGACAAGAGCTAGCCCAGGTTGCTTGGTGTCCAGCTATGTTACTGTTCACGTTGATCAGTTAATCTGAAATTCTCACTTTAAAAGCTTAAGCATCCGTGACAGAGTTGTTTTTTCCTTCTGCTGTGTTAGGCTGGGAGCTGCCTGGCTGTGCTCACGTGGAGCTGGGCTGTGAGCACCAATAGCTCTGAGTGCTGCTGATCCTCAGTGCTGAGCTGACTGCTCCTTCAAAGTGAAGGGAGGGTTTCTTTACAGAACAGGGGAGGTCACTCCGTCCAGTGTCAGGTTTTTAAGCATGGTGGAGGTGACTGTTGGTGATGGAGCTGACTCTTGACACTTCTGCCCTTGGTTTGGTCGAAGGCTGCGTTCTCATCACACTGCATTCCTGTGAAGGGAGAATGCTGGACTCGTGCAGCGTGGGGTCCTCAGTTTCAACCCCACAGCATTATGCTTAAAAAGGGGCACGTTCCATTCTGGGCAGAGGAAGAGCTGCATTTTTATTTTCCTAGGACTGCTGGGTCTCGGGTCTCCACCATCACCATCTAATAATTTTCCTTTGTATGAACTGTCCTTGGCTCACCTGCAAAGACAACTGTGCACTTTGACTTGCTTTTTTTCTTACTGCTGTAAACTATGCTGGATATTTGTGGCAAACCTATCTAACTTTTTAATCCTTTTCTTTCTTTTTTCTACAGCATTGTCCAAGATATAACAGTTGGTACAAAGGTAGGCACTTCTCACTTTTTCTCTCTTTTTACACTGCTCAGCATCTTGACCTAATTTTAGCCTCGCCAAATGTAGATCTTGAGCTTGAAGGGGTTATTTCTGGTACCATGTCCAGAAGGTAATTTAGTTTCATGTGCATTAAAACTTTTATTATAGTTCAGCACTTAGCTCTTGGCATTTGGACATTGATTATCAACTGTCAGAAGAGAATGTTATTGCATTTAGGAACAGCCCTTTTCCCCTGCTAAAATGTCAAGCTGTGCTTGTTGTGTGTGCTAGATAATGGTTCTCAATGGAGAAATTGGTCCTTTCTCTTTAGAATTCCCCTTCTGCCCCAAAATGGAGTGTTTAGCTGCTGATTTCTATCTCCTGTGAGTACAGTAAATATGACCTTTACCCTCCAGCCTCAGGTTTTGAAAGGGCAGACCTAGCCCTGAAACTAAAGTGCTGACAGGAGCCTCCTTATCTGTGCTGCTCGGTAATAGCTGCTGCGTTCACAGGATAAAGCACATTCCTCTGAAATGCTGAACTGGAATGTGTGGGACAGATTGGCTCTCCTTGGTGTATTGAGGGCTTTTTATTTTCCTTAGTGAACATGGTAGGTAATGTTCTGGGCTCAGGGTCACAGCAGTTCAGCCCTGCAGTTCTTATTTGGTAGTGTGTGGATGTTGGCCTTCGGAGGAATGGCCGTACAGCTTTGTGGCTGTGTTACAGCTTCATTACTTATACCTTGAGTAAGGAACAGAGATGTGTGTGAGCTCAAATAGCTGGGGGAGTGATGCAGTGTGAGATAGGGCTGATGTGGAGGGGAGCTGGGGTGGTGTGGTGCGAGCTCTGGTGGGTCTGTGCAAGTGGAGAAGTATTAGAGAGAATTTGCTCCTAGAAAGCAGATAGTTGTAATATTGAGAATACAGAACTGGATGCGAGTGCTGTAAGCACAGGTGTGTGTGTTTGTGTGTGTTAGTGCTCCAGGGTTTCTGAGGAGCATGAAACATGAAGGAAACCTCTTTAGCAGCTTGTAAGGGCAAGGTTGTTCTCACTTCTGCAGTGTGATGATCTGAAATCTGAATCAATCGTGGTGACAGCATGGCGTTCTCAACCAGCACTGAGCACTGTCTGCTGCAAGGAGCTGAGCTTCCAGTAAGGAGAAGGAGGGGAGGTTAGAGGATGGGCAGAACAGCTGGCTAATAGTTCATAGCTACTTCACAAAGTGAAGCAAGCAGTCTCCTGACCACCACTCTGAGTAATCTGATTAATCTAGGTGGAAGCCCCCTAAATCGGAATTAATGTTGCATCTGTTAATCTGCAGCTTTAAGCGACGCTTCTACGCAGCTAAATGTGATTAAGAAGCTTCTGAAACTGTAACTGTGGTCCTCTCAGTCCGTCTTGAAAAGCTTCAGGATGTGGTACAGAGTGCCTCGTGGTTCTGTCTGTGGGGCACAGAGCAGTCAGGTGGTTACAGTGAGGGCTGGGAGAAATCCTGAGCTCGTGCTTTCACTCCTAGCGCAGGACGGAGCTGTAACAGCCTGTGTGCTGTTTGGGCACTGGGGCAGAGAGTGGAGAAGCGCACTGAAAATGAAGCTGCGTGTTAAGGCAGGGAAGGGGAGGGTTGAGATGGTTGAATCGGATCTCAGAGCAAAAAGGGAAGTTGAAACATCTTGATAAAGGTAAGTTCTTGAGAACGTTTTCTGATACAGCCATGTTATCTGATTGCTCAATCAAGTCACTGAGTGTGTCGGTGTAGCTTATGCAACAGAAGTTGTGTTGTCGAATGGTAAACTGTAACACTTCATTCTTACCGTGGGTTTTGCTGTAGGTGGGTTAAAATCTTGTCTGCAGCAACAAAGCGAGGGCTTCTCTTAGGGCTGTGTGCACGGAGTGAGGTGCAGGCAGCTCATCACCGGGTTGTGTAATCAATTGCTTGTTGAGAGCACTTATCTCAGTGGTAACCATTAAGCATCATCGGCTGCAGCTCTTTGTGATGCTGCTGTTGCTTCTTTAGTGCTTCTGTTTCCATCTGCTTTCCTTTGGTTTGGCAGAAAGCGGTTGGAAGGGCTGCAGAAGGTTTCTGTAACATCACAGAAATATTTCAGTCTTTGCTACAATAACGACATTGATAGAGCTCTGTTGTTCTGGTGTCATTTTTCTGACCCCTGGGGCATCACTGAAATCGCTTTGAGGATTAACTGATTTTTTTTTTTTCCCTCCCCCCCATTCAGAAGCAGATGTTCCTTATAATTGCTTGATAACTTACCATAATGTGTAGCTGCAGTTGAGTGATCTGCTGCCTTTATAAAGCATTTCTAGCTGTGTTCACAAGCTTGCTGGCTGAGCTCCTAGGCTGGACATGAGCGCTTCACCTGGAGAACTGTTCTTGGCCTGGGGTGTAAACCGACTCATTTTTACTATGGATGTGCAGAGAAGGTAGGAACACAACTCTGTCAGGTTCCTTAAGGCGTTAGGAGATGAGTCTCAAAAGCTGTGAGCTCTCTGTTTTGTTGATGAGAGAACACTGGGCACCTTTTTAGACATTCTTGGTGTGACTGAAATATCCCAAAGCTGGAGGCTTCTCGAGCCAGCAGGGAAAGTGTCTGTAACCCAAAAACACTGCAGAGCAAACTGTCAGGAATGATTCACAGCAACGACCTCTTGGTTGTCTCCCTGCTATAAGATGTTCTGGGTTACTGCAGTCCAGCTTTGAAATGGAAGGCTTTGTAGGAATGTGTATGTTTGCTCTGCTTTGTTTTAGAGGTGAAGTACGGGCACCTTTTGTAGGATTGTTTTCCCATCCTTCACGTGTTATGAATTCTGACACATTTGTGTTCAGTATACAGAGATCTGTGTTGTATTTATGTTCTGTAACTGATGTTCCCAGGTGTTCTCATGGCTGAATACCTGAGTGCTGTGCTGCCTGATGCCCTCCTTTCCATTGGGTGGCAACTGTGGGCCATTCCTGGGAATTCCAAATCAGCTCTTCAGTCTGAAATATGGCAACTTGTTTAGGAAACTCATTACAGTTCTGTAACAGGACTTTCAATGCATGGACTTCTGGAATGTGCTGTAGATTGGAAACGCATGACTTGAGTCTCACATCTGTCCATGATTTAATATCTGGGAAGGAAGGAAGCATCTCCTTTAGGTGGGGGCACGGTACTTGGACTTGAAGGTGCTGGGCCTGGTCTCTAAGCAGGATTGACATCGAGTATGAACTGTGATATATCATCATTCTTTAAAGTTGCATTTCAATTAAAAAATGTTGCTGGAAATGCTGGGCAATCCTTGTAGTTTTGCTGTTAAATTGAGCTCTCTTCAGAAGATGGCACTTCGAGGGGAGGGAAAAAAAATACAGTACACTTTTGTGACATCTGAGAAGTTAATTTTTAAAATGGGGTTTGCTGGAGTGTGATACAGACTGCCTGCATAGAAGTGATTTGTGGTCAAGCAAGGATTTTTGCCATGGGAACAGTAATTATGGCTTCAGGCAGAGGGCCAAGAATGCTGTGAGGAAATTCCAGTCCTCTCCTATGGCTTTAGTGAGAGGCTGCAACAAGCTGGCTCTTGTGGCCTGCCTGCAACAGGCGTGATCACACATGTAGGGCACATGGCTGCAGCACACGGTGGGGGGAAGGGAAATGCTCCATCTCATCTGGGGGATCTGCTGTGCAGAGAATGCTTTTGTGCACCTGTGTGCAGTTCATAGGGGACTCCTGTGCAGAGGCAAGCAGTGAGCAATGGTGGGTGATGGAACTGCCTCAGTTCTTTATTAGCAGGGTTTCAAGCTGTCAGTTGAAGTGCAGGTGGTAAGCAAGGTTGTTGTCAGAGGCTCACCAGCTGTCAGAGCTGCCTAAAGCAGTTCTTCACTCTGCATCTACAGCACTGTGTGGAAACAAGCTGAAGCTGTGCCTGCTTAGAAGAGAGTGGGGATGCACTCTTGCTAGTGAGATGATGACAAAGGTGGTGAGGAAGAGCAAATGTAGTTTAATTTCTACCTCCGTGGGGCTCTCGTACAGCTGTCTGCTAAGCTTTGCATGGAAACTCATCAAGCTCTGCTCTTAGTTCAGCGTGTGTTGTGGTAATCTCAGTGTAATTGCTTGGTCTGTGCCAAAGCAGTTTCTGGTTATTACACAATAATGATTTGGAAGAGATGGAATTAGTGTGGGGTTCCTTCTGAACCTGCATGCTCAGTTTGCTGGTTTATGGGTTAGGTCACCAAATATTCCTTCATCGCTTCCATCTGTTCCAAAGTGATTCATCCAGCAGTGTTTGTGTGCTGCTATTTGCGTTCAGCTTTAGGGAGAACCTGTCTGCTCTGCTGTAATGATTAGAGGAGCTCAAGGCTGACTGCTAGTTAAGTTTCAACTTGGGAACAGTGGATCATAAAGCCTGGGTGTGTGCTGTCCTACAAAGCAAGAATGACTGCATTGCTGCAGCGCTTGCCGTTTAGGAATTTTAGAGCTATTTGCAATGGCCACACCTTTTATTTGCTCAGAGGGCAGGTTTGTTTCATGGAGTGTCTCCATAGCAGCTGAGAAAGAAAGCCAGGGAGGGGCTGATGTGATGAGGGGGTGAAGGATCTGGCTTTGGAAAGCTGCTGTGTGCCGGAGCTGAGGCGTGCTGTTGCCAAATCCCACCTCGGGTTGTGGCAGCAGTTGCTTCATGTCGTGCTGAAGTTGCTGGTGTCTCATAGCGTATGTATAGATTGGAGTTCCTATAGATGTTGTACCAGGTGTTGTGGCAGGATGTACTGTAGCAAAACAGGCTTTTGAGTGCCAAGTTGTACGCAATGCTACGACCAGCGAGTCTGGGCTCCAGGATGCTGAGAAATGTGTGTACCCAGTAGGTGAGGCTTACTGGGAAGTTCAGCATGCTGGCTCTCATGGATGGCTGTTACACTGACTGTGGCCCAGACAGAAGTGGGACTGCAGCAATTTAAGCAGCTCTGAGTTAAAGGTGCCAGGTGTTTGCTGTCCCCAAATGAGCAGAGTTTTGAAATAAATGCTTGAAATCTAAGTGTGCTGATGCCCACGTAGCACGTGGCTGGATTTAGCTTGCAAGTGTTCCAGGGCTTTCTGCATTTGAATTGGTGCATCAAAATCAACCAGGAGTGGACTGGATTCTCCTCCAGCTCTTGTTTTTGGGTCTGATCAGATGATGTCCCATCTGTGGGAGATGCAGTTACAGCTGAGAGCCACTGCATGGTGCAGTGCCACGGCTCACCTCACAGCCACGAAACAGGCTGCAGGCCTCAGTTGCTCTGTATTAACCTTAAATCTCCTCCTTTGAAGGAGAATGTGCTTTTATCATGTGTTTTCCAGAAGTGTTTTCATGCACTGATAAGAATCTGCTATTTTTCTTGCTGCTCTGCCATGAAACAGGTAAAGAATACTGGAGGCAGAGGGGGAAAAGGAGCACTGGGGGTAGAAGTGAGCCTTGCTTTGTGTGAGGCTCCTGTGGGAGATGAGGAAAACTGGCACCATTCTTCCCAGTAGTTGAAATTTATCTCCATTCCTATCTCTTGAATCTCAGCAGAAAACACTGGAATGTAACTAAAAATGTGTGTGAATGAGGTCACTGCACTGGATTTTCCTTAGCAGCTCCTTTGCAGAGAGATTTGAGTCTCAAAAGCGTGCATTTTTCTGTTCCTTTGGGACTGGGCTCATGTGCCTTTGAAACACACTTTGGAGATGCCCAGTTCTTTCTGTGCTCTGAGACTCTCCTCTACTTTTAGCAGAGCAAAAAAGGGTTTGGGAAATTGTGTGTGAAAGTTATTATGGCAGTCCCTTACAGGGTCCAAAATCTGCATGATTTTAGGAAGCATGTAGTGTAAGAATGATGCTGACGGGACAGACTTGCAGGGCTGGAGATGGCGCTCAGAGGGATGCTGGTGTGTTGATCCCATCTGTTAACATATATATATTGGCCAGCTGGTAGCCTGTGCTGGCCTTCCCATGGTGGCTGTCTTCCCCTGTCTCCTGCTAGTAGCTTCGTGCTGCTTTCTGCCAGTAACACTTACCTTCTGGTAGCTGTCAGCATGTACTGATATCACCTGGTGACCTTTAGGTTCTTGCTTTGATCACTGTGTGTGTATGTTAAGCTTTTTGCACTGGCAGAACGAGGTTGGTTTATTGTAATGTGAAATGAATGACAGGATGTGGAGTGGCTGAAGGTTTACATTGGGCAGCTGGACATTTCTGTGGAGTTTCTAGGTGTGCCTTTGTTCATTCCCAACCATGGTGAAGTTCAGGTGTAATCCTAGTGAGAGGGAGCCAGATGGTTAGTGCGTTGTGAGCTAAATATTGGTTTTTAAGCTGTGAAAGCAGAGGCTAATTTGAAATTCTTACAACTGAGTTGTTAAAATGTGCTTTTAAAGCCCAAAAGGCTTTGGGGGGTGGTTGAGAATGTAACCTGGAAAACTAGGGAACACTGGGATTCTGCCTTGCAGCAGGTTTCCCATCTCTAATTCATGAAAGGGAGCTAAAATGTTGATAATGAGCCCACATGAAGCAGGAGTGTTGCATTAATTGAATGCAGCTTGAGCAACAGGCCTTCCATAGCTGTGTGCTGAGGACAGAAGGAGGTTGCTGTCATAGCAACACTCCCAGGCAATGCTTTACCTGTCAGCAGAGTGTGTCTAATTGGTGCTGGTAGTGCTGGAAACAGCCTTCCCCTGGACTAGGTAAGGTTTGGCAATGCAGCTTTAAAGATGGTATTTTTTGTGTGTAAACAGGAAGAGGTTTATTAACTGAGCTGATGAGTTTCTGCAGAGCGGTGTTACTGTGTTAGCGCAGTGTTGCTTCTGTTAATCTCTTTGTAAAAATACCAGCTGCAATAGAATGAGCTGAGCAGAAATGTCAGTGTGAATTAACATCTGAGAGTGGGGCGGCTGATTTTCATGTGAAGAGCTGGCTGATGTGTGGCACAACTGGGCTTCTCCCAGGTGCTTGGGAATACAAAGGCAGAGGAGTGCTGTGGGCTGAGCCTGGCCAGCAGCCCAGCACCCACACAGCTGTGTGCTCACCTCCTTCCTTCCTTATGGCTCAATGAGTTCTGCCCTCAAAGAAATGAAGGAATAAAAACATCAAATAGTTCAGGACCTGCACTTTTTGTTACTAGCCTTTTCAGTAATGCTCAGAATCCCCAAGGGAGATGGTGCTGGCAAGAAGCTGCGTCTTCTGAAACAGCCAGACTTGATTTGTTTCTTCTGAGTCTGATGCAACACATTGCTTTGTATGGGGCATTTGAGTTTATTTATAACACAGTTTTAAAGAATAAAAGACCTCTTGGCAATCGCTGCAACTGTAAAGGCAACTGCTGAGAGTCCCACTGATGTTCCTACCATGGAGTGCGGATGGATGGAGCTGTTTTTGCTTTACCTCAGGCAGCTTGTTATTCCAGAAAGCATCCACCGCCAGGGACTTGCAGTTAGGTGAGTCCCAGCAGCACCAATGAAGGAAGAAATGCAGAGGAAAAGGCAGCAGCTGGTGGGGTTTCCTTCTGCTGAAGGCTTCCCTGCACTGACTGCCTGGTGTCACCCCAGCTATGGCCTGTTCTAAGTTCGTTCTCCTGGCACTTCTGTGTGGGGCCACCAGAGCTGGGTGTGCAAAAACCAGCTTGCCTCTTGCTTGCACTCAGAAATCCCAGTGCTAATTACAGCAACTGTTAAAAGGGCCATTGCTCATTATGACTTTGTTCGTTGACATTGCCATAGGTGCTTCTTGCCTTTGCAGGACCAGGTCAGTGCTGTGCAGGTGACCAGCAGCAGCACATGAAGCATGGCATTGGAACCTGCCCCAATTTCACCTATTCAGTACATCAAAGTCCTCGAGCTCAGCTTTGAAGAGCAGCACTGAGCGGTCAGACAAGAAATTCAGGATCTGAAGAAGAAAAAAAACCCAATCTCCTGTCTGTAATTCAGTGTGCTGGGCTCGGTGTGTGACCTACTTTCCTGACCTGTTCGCTGTGCAGCCAGCAGAGCTCCTGTTGCTGTGCAGGTCGTGTTACTGCAGGTGCCAGCAGATACTGGGTGGGGGGAGCAGCATCCTGGCAGCTTCCACTGGGGTGCCTGGGTGGGAGTGAAGGCAGGGCTGGGCTTTATTTCCTATTACTGCTAGGGGTCTTCTACTGTGACACTGCTATGTAAAAGAACTTGGAGATTAGAAGGTGCTTTTGGGTGCTGAATTTGTGTTTGCTCGTGCTCACAGTGAGCTTTGAGGTCCTGTGCATATCTTGTTTGAAATTCTTACTGATTTGAAGTATAGCTTGTGCTAAGTAGTAATGAAATGTAATGTTTGCTTTTAGTCATAGCGATGCCTTCTTTTGGCCTTCTTAGTTTAGATTAGTTCTGGTCAGTTCAGATCATTTGGGTCGCAGGGACTGCTGTCATGAGCTGAAGTTGCACGCAGTGCTCTCAGAGCCACTCGGTGTTGTTCTCAGGGAATGAAGGGAGAGCAGTGCAGGTGTGTGAATAGATGGAATTACACCTTGCCTGCAGATAGCAGGAGGCCTGGAATAAATAAATGCATGTCTATCAGTTGTGTGGTATCAGTTTGCTTGGGCAGAGTGATTCTGGTAGGAGCCCTTTTGGGAGTTCTGGTTAAATAAGCTCGGGAAGGCATGGTGCTGCACTGTGGAAAACCAAAGGGAGATGCTTTGTTCTGCTCTGCAAGTAGCTGTGTGACTTCAGTGTGGAAGTCCTCCTGCCCCAGAGGCAAGGGAGGATGTGGTTGCAGACCTTGTACCTGTGGTGCTTGTTTCTCAGCTTCAGAATGCTCGGTCCTTTGGCTGAAGCGTGTGCTGAGGTATTGCTGTGCCATTGCCCTGTGGAAGACACTGCTGCTGTTCTGAGGACTGTGGCTGGAAAACAACCCTGTGGTCTGATAGTACACATTATCCTGTATGATTCTACTTATCTATGTCTTAGAGCAGCTTTCTTCAAGGAGCTTCATTTTCTTTTCTTTCCCTTCTTTTTTTTTTCTTGGGGGAGGAGAGGGGGGAGAGTTCCATCTATTTCTTAATATCTCCACGTTGTCATCCCATTTTCACTGGCGAATAGCAAATTTATCTCATCATTAAGTCACAAATTGCCTTTTGCTTAAGACTTCCTCTAGTCTTGGTAGCCCACAGTAAAATAATTGATCTAATCTTCATGAATGGCATTAGAAAACATACTAATGAGTAGATGTCGCTATCTGCTTTGCTATTTCAGATCAACTACCAATGCTCAAGCTTAAGCTTAAAGAATGAAAATCAGCCTGACACCAATCATGAGGAATATGGCTCTATTTATTAGGGAGCAGTGAGTATCAGTGCCCAGTGCTCGACACTGGCTTCAGACAACTCAGCAATGCTTCAGCTCCTGAGATTCCTGGTGTTTACCTCAACGGAGCCATTGGATAGTGCTATTCAATTACCAAATTGGATCTTACTTATATTTAATTGATGATGATGAGGTTGACTCTCAGTATATTTTCACTTGCGCTTCTGTTCAGCTTCTCTGCACCTTCATATCAGTTGTTCTGTTCAGGTGTTCTGAAAACAGCAGAGTTCAGTAGAAATGCTGTCAGTTTACCTCTCTTCTTTTCTCTTCCAGCGGGGATCTGACGAGCTTTTCTCTACTTGTGTTACTAACGGACCCTTTATCATGAGCAGCAACGCTTCTTCTGCAGGTAATACTGCCTCTAAGAAAGGAATAGCAATTGGTGGGTGTTGCAGATGCTATCAGGAGGTCTGATTTTGCTTTTTAATATATATACATTTAAATTAAAGACATATATTTCTAATACTTACTAAGCCTTTGTAAGTTTGTTGTTCAGCACCACCTTGTCTTGCACCTTGATGGTTAGCAGACTGAAAAAATGTGCTTCAAAACATTTGTTCTAACGATTTTACAGTAATAAAGTAAGTTTTGCTGCGAACTGGTCTGCTTGAAACATAGTTGTGTTTCATAGGGTTATTTTGGCCATATATAGCAAAGTGCTGTTGTTTATTCCGGGAGTCTGACACCATCTAGAGGTCAGTGATCCCACCAGAACAGAGTTTTGCCATCAGGGCTTTGAATTATCTTACCTTGAGCTGCTGTTCTCTTTTGAGCTCCTGGCTTTGCCCTGCCAGACCCTATCAGCGTCTGATAGTGCCATAGATGTAATCCAGATGTAATCTACTGGCTTGTATTTATTGTTATCATGTCGATTGTTTGAGAAGGACGTCATCACATCTGCTTCATTGCTAAGAATGCTGGAGTGAAGAGAAATAAAGCAGCAGTTTGAAATAACGGATTGGAATTAAGCAGTAGAAATGTGAGTGTGTGGAGATCTGCCTGCTGCAAAATGGCCACTGGAGGGTATGTTCCATTGCAGTGACATTCAGCCCCATCACTCACATTCGTGTAATCTGAAAAGGGGTAAAACTTTGTGTTCAGACTCAGGTTAAGTTAGGCAATAGATTTTCTCTGTGATAGAAATAAATGGACAGGCAGCACAAGATGCACATCAGGGGTACTGCTGGTGTGTTTGCTCATCAAACTCACCCTAATGAGCGGCTGCTCTCGTTCTGTTTTGTTTTTACAGCTAATGGAAACGACAGCAAAAAATTCAAAGGGGACAGCAGAAGTGCTGGGGTCCCATCCAGAGTAATCCACGTCCGTAAGCTCCCCAGTGACGTCACGGAGGCTGAGGTCATCTCTCTGGGCTTACCTTTTGGCAAGGTCACCAACCTTCTGATGCTGAAAGGCAAAAACCAGGTACAGTGTCCACAACTGACAGCAGAGGTTGACAAAGACTGGAGTTTGTCATCAGTAAAGCAGCTCCGAGGTGTCAGAATGGCTGTGACTCATTGGGATTGATAACTTCTGCGTGCTGTGTTTTACTTTTCCGTGGCTGCCCCATGAGCTGTAGAAAATACTATTTTCAGGCTGCTCAAGTAGCTGAGTCCGTAATTATTGGTAGTCATTTATAATTAGCATCATGCTTGTTCTTGTAGATTACAGGCCAGGTAAATGGTTTGGCCAGCAGTGCTGTGAGGTGGCCTTTTTCACTGCAGCCAGTTTGGTTGTTGAGTAACCACCACTGTAACCTTACATATTAAGGATACCTTTCCAGATAGAAAAAAATGAGCTGAGTGAAGCTGAAGCACCACTGGATAATGCAGAAGGTGTGTGTGAGCTTTGTGACTGCAATTGTACCAATTAAGGAGTTAAAAAGCAAGCCAACTTTAATCGTTGCTTCAAGTACTGTGTCTTTAATCCCAGTGATTCATCAATGTGCCTCTGATGTGTAGTGTGATTTCATGGAAGGGCTGCTCCAAAAGTAATGCTTATTGGTTTACTGTGTTGGCTAGTGATGTCACATGCAGCTGCTGATGGGACAGCAGTGCAGGCTGAACCTTCCATCAGTCTTCTTTTACATTTGGTAGCTGTGCCACACGTGGCAGCAGAGGGGTGGTCTGACACAGTGGCATCTGACACACAGGGGTGTGGAATTCAGCTCCTCCAATTGGGCATTACACAGAGCAACCTCTGTGCTTCATGTAAACGACTTGCTAAAATTCCTTGTTTTTCTTCTAAAATAAAGAAGGCCACAAAGGTGTGAAACACTGAGTAGGTTTACAGAAGTGTGGGAAGCTGCTTGTTATAGTAAGTGTTGAGAGTCTGGATTGCTGCTCTACTCCAGTGTTGCAGCAGGCACTTCTGTCATTGCCAGTCCCCCAAATATATGTAGCATAAAGATCTTAGGATGAGTTGGGTGTTGCATTAATGGCCTATGAGTGCAGCTGTGAAAATTAAACGCTGTTCATTTCAGCTAGAAGCTCCCTCTGAATTCATCAATCACGTGCTACTGATAAGTGTTCATGTCTGCTAGTGTGAGCTGCTTTGCTAATGTGCTGAATTGATTGATTTGACTTTCTGTGTAGGCTTTCATAGAAATGAATACAGAGGAGGCAGCCAACACCATGGTAAACTACTACACCACAGTCACTCCAGTCCTTCGAAGCCAACCCATCTACATCCAGTTCTCCAACCACAAGGAGCTTAAGACAGACAACTCACCAAACCAAGCAGTTAGTTTCTTTCTTAACATTGTCATGCAGGTGGGAGGGAGAGATGGTTCCCAGCTGGTGGTTTTGCTGCTGGTGTAGGCCTGGAAGGGTTTTGAGATGAACTATGTCTGTGAAAGTATTAAAAAGAGCACGTTGTGTTTCCTGAGGGTTTGATTGAATAGAAATGCCTCTCATCTAGGTTCTCATAGGCTTTCTTTCAGCATGGCTGCTTCTGACCACCTTTTTCCCTTTGCTTGCAACTTTCTCATTTGCAACTTGATTTCTACCCCAAGCTTCCACCTTATGGAAGAATATCTACTGTAAGAGCTTTTGTCCAGAGCTTCAGCAGACTATTAAATGACTGCTAAAACTTCCTTAATGTTGGGGAGAAAAAATAAGTGAGATCACAAAAAAATTGCACTCTAGTGTTCTTTAATTAGAAACTGTAACAGTGCCTCTCTAAAGACTTACAGTGCTTCAAAAATGCTGCTGGTGCTTAAGAAGTTTATCTAGAATGAAGCTCTGATGGAGGCAAAACCTGTAAGTGCTGGAGAGAGGCTAGCTTGGAAGCAGGCAGCACTGAGCACAGTGGTTCTTAATGCCTTGGGCTGTCTAGATGTGTAAAACAGGCTCTGCATAGTAGAAAGTTCCATTTTTGGCTTAGCTGCTCTTGGCAATCTTTCAGGTCTGGAGCATTGGAAAGAAGTTCAGGTTACTTGCACCTCCTTATCAGGAAAGGCTTCCTAACACGTCCAGTTTGCCTCCTCACTTTTCAGCCCGACTTCCATCGGCATCAGAGCATCTCCTGCTGTGCAGATGAAGTGCCACTGCTTGGTGCCTCTGACAAAACCACAGTTTGCTGCACATGTCACGCAGAAAGGACACTCAACAGGAACTGCCAAGTCAGTTCTCGCTGCTGGAGCCCTATGGCAGTTGTGCATTGAACTTGTTAGATTTTGTTGTCAGCTTCAGTATTGGAGGTTGATAGTATTGGAGTATTGGAGGTGATACTGCATTCCAAAAGAGCCTGGATTTACCTTTTTCCTGAGCAGTGGAATAACTCTGCAGCATTAGTGGGTGCTGAGCAAGAGTATATAGATAACAGCAGTGTAAGTAGCATTTTATTTAGTGTGTTTTGCATTGCTGTTATTGATTGAGGCGACCTTGTGTTTCCCACGTCTGAAATGTGCTGAAATACTGGATTCTCAGCTCTAGGAACAGTAAAATTGCTGCTTGTTGTTCTGTAGTAAATAGATGGGGAAACTCTAAAGCTGAATGTGTATTTTTGCAAGCAGGAGTGTCAGTCTAACAGGATGTTTGGTTCTGCAGCGTGCCCAAGCAGCTCTGCAAGCAGTGAACTCTGTTCAGTCAGGAAACCTGGCACTGCCAGCTCCTGCTGCAGCTGTGGATGCAGGGATGGCGATGGCTGGCCAGAGCCCTGTGCTGAGGATCATTGTGGAGAATCTCTTCTATCCTGTCACTCTAGATGTTCTGCATCAGGTAAAAAAAACCCAACGTCCTCACAGCTTGCAGACTGTCCTGGAGGAAGGGAAAGAAACAAATAGGGAATTACACGTGTTAGAGTTGTAACAGCATGTGTCTGTATCTGTAAAGCAAGCTCTGGAAAGAGCAGCTCTGACCACAGCTGTTAGTTTTCTGCTTTCTAGAGACCCTGATGCCTGCGTGAGGCTTAGTTTTGTTTTCAGTCTGGCCAGTCTCAATTTGCAGAGGTTTGCTGGCCTGCTGTAGTGGGATTGCGACCTGGTGTGGCTGAAAGGACAAATGTTACAGTTTCAGAACTGGTGTGAATACACTGCTTCCTCCACCCACAGTGATGCTTAACCACTGTGGGAAATACTGCACTGTACCAAGTGTGCCTGTGTCACTTGAGCAGTAACCTATGTGAAAACTTATTCCTGCTCTGCACTGCAGTCACTCAACTTGATCTTTGTTTAAAATGCAAGTAGGACTGCATGTAAAAATCCCCAAAATTCTGAAAATGTTTGAGTTTGTGAAGGTCTCTATGCATCTTCCCGTATGAGTGATGTTAAAATGAGGACTTATTAAAGGTGCACTGAGCTAATCCTGTTTCTTCTGTAAGCAGTTGCCATGATGTAGGATAAACAGTGCTTGTGGTGTAGTTTAAAACCTACTTTCAAGTTGGGAAGCTTACAGGCTGACAGGACAGTTGTTGTTTTTGCTTCTAATAATGTGAAATGTGAATACGATGCTCAGCTCTGGTGATGGGGTGACAAAGTGTGCAAATATTATCTTGCAGATTTTTTCCAAATTTGGTACAGTCTTGAAAATAATTACGTTCACGAAGAACAACCAGTTTCAGGCTCTGTTACAATATGCTGACCCTATGAGTGCTCAGCATGCCAAACTGGTGAGTACCATGCTTGCAGTGCTAAATACCTGTGTTGTTTCAACTTTTCACCTTGCTGTTGTTATTCTAGGACAAATGTGTGTGTGTGTGGCTTTGTGAAAGCATCTCCCAGGTGGCAGATTGCATGTGTGAGTGGGAGGGAGCTTCACCACCCAGAGCAGTGTGGTGTAAGGAGGGTAATTGTGGAAGGGATGAGTGAAAGAGATGTTAACTGCACAGGTTGTTTGTCTTCAGGTGCAGCACTCCCTGCAGTGATGCAGCACTTTCTCTCCTCAGAGGTTTCATATTTAATACGAATTCATGTTGTGTTTAAAAAGGGATTTGTTTCCTTGCAGTCTTTGGATGGACAGAACATCTACAATGCCTGTTGTACGCTGCGCATAGATTTCTCAAAGCTCACGAGTCTCAATGTAAAATACAATAATGACAAAAGCAGAGATTACACACGACCAGACCTACCTTCTGGGGATAACCAGCCTCCTCTTGATCAGACCATGGCAGCTGCTTTTGGTGAGAGTTCTTAATGTGGGAGCAGGGCAGGTGTAACAACTCCTGGTAGTTGGGGAGGAGAGGATTTAATTCAGTGTGTTTGGTTATGAAGAATTTTAGAAGGGTGTGAATGAGGAATTTTGGGATCACTGAATCTGGGTGCAAAATACTGGCATGGGCATTTGTTTGTGGCTGCATGTTGCTGCTGTGAAGGCTGTTTGTGTGGGGACTTAGAAGGTTTCAGCAGCTGTCTGTGCTTCGAGTGCCATCTGCTGTTCTGTTTGCAGCACAGACTGAGCAGTAATTTGGGGGTGTTGTAAGCTATGCTTCTGGAAACTGTACCATGGGTAAACAGTGATGGGAGCTGGTAACAACTGGTCAACAGCTGCCTTCTGCTGGCAGTGTCACCCAGCAGGGCTGGAGGAAATGGCTGCTGCCATTTCTTGAAGAAACTCAGTGTTGCTTTAAAGACATCTTTGACCTGGTGGTTACGGTTTAGCTTCCAATTCATACATAGAAGGGCAGATGAGGACAGTGAAGCCTGGAGTTTTCTTGCTGTTGAGTATCTGTATAATGTGTGTCTCTTTCCCAGGTGCCCCAGGAATAATCCCTGCCTCTCCATATGCAGGAGCTGGCTTTCCTCCCACCTTTGCAATTCCTCAGGCTGCAGGTACTGTACTTCGTAAGTTGGAATTTTATATAGGTTCTCTGGTTGTTGCTGAAGCATCTTGATGTTTTCAAGCTAAGTAGTGGTGGTTTGGGGGGGAGTGGAGTGCTTTAAGTCCTAAAAGCTGACACTTGGGCATGGAGGGGGAAGATTTTTTTTCAATATGTAATGTGAACCAGGTGTGTAGCTGTAGTTACTCTGGGTAGGCAATATTCACATGGAAGGAAGAAAATCAGAGTGGGAGCAACACTAAAAACAATATTTAAATATTACTCTATTGGGAGATTTATTGGTTTTGCATTTAGTTCTTCCTCATGGGGCTGCTGAGTTTGGGAAACCCACTGTTATGTCTGTAAAAGTGAACAGAAGCAAGGAATCTTTGCTTTCCCATAAGAACTGAGTAAATCTGGTATTCAGTATGAGCTGAGTTTACGTTTTTACAGTTGCTCTGAAGCTTAAAATTCATGTTGCTGATAACAAAATATTTCTGCTTACATGCCTATCCAAAGATGAGACAAATACTTAAGCTTTAGGTGCTAAATATACTTGTGAGTGGCAGATAAGCAGTTCTTAGCTTTTCATAGCATACCAAGCTATGTTGACTTCCCAGTAACTCGGTGGGATTTCCTTGCTTATGAAAGAACAGTCACAAACCAAATGCTGCTATTTTGTTAGTATGCTTTCCTCATGGGATACAAACCATGCCCCTGGAGGTCATCCCATGTAATTCATTGCTGTTTCTAAAGCTTCAGCCCTCCGAAGGGCAGCGCTTTAACGTGGTGAGGTGTTCTGTGAACAGCCTAGAAAATGAAGCCTTAATGTTTCCTCATTCAATAAGAGATCAGCCGAGGGTAGCATGATAGCTGACGATTTCTATATGCATGGTTAAAGAACAAAGCATTTTTTGGCATGCACTGGTTGGAAAGACCCTTCCAATGACACCGTTTGTGAGACCTTTCCTGCCCCACCAGAGCTGAGGCTTTGTGCTGATTCCGCTTCTTGTGAAATGTGCAAAATATTGTAGTCAACAAGATTGTGCTGAGGCATCTGTTGAGCACCAGGCACTGCAAAGAGCAATTCCTATGAGAAACGATACCATACCTCCTGCAGCACCAGAACTGGAGGCTTCTGTTGCTGTTAGAGTAGAGTCACTGTGTTTTGAATGGTTACTTGCATGTTACAGAAGGTGTGCTGTTCTCCCTTCTGGTGCAGCAGATACACTAGAGTACGTGCTGTTAACTTCTTCACTGGTTAATATTCTTTAATTTCCAGGCTTGACAGTTCAAAATGTTCATGGAGCTCTAGCTCCTTTGGCTATCCCAGCAGCAGCTGCAGCGGCTGCAGCAGGACGGATTGCCATTCCCGGCCTCGCTGGGGCAGGGAACTCTGTTCTGCTGGTTAGCAATCTGAATCCTGAGGTTAGTGGAGTCCTAATTTTACTTTTTTTCTCCTTCCTGTTACCTCTACTTTCACTTTCTGAATGCAGATTATGCTGAAAATCATTCAAAGTGAAACCCAACTGTGTCCTAAAGGAAACGGCAAAGTTAGAAAAGCAGATGTGCTCTGCCAGCTCTCAATCTCAAAGCAGTCAGTACTCTAGTTGCTGAAAGGAAATCAGAAAGTCCATCTCTCAAATTGAAACCTTGCTGCTCTTTAGTCAAAAGCTGAGGATGCTGCCTGCCTGCTCTTGTCCCACAAAGACTACAATACCTGTCCCCTCCCTCCCTTCATTTGGAATCTCTCTGCCATTCCCATGTAGTATTGTATTGTCACTGGGTCAGAAGAGTCACATCCATTCTTTCTTTCCCTTAGCATGTTCTAGATTTTTAATAACATTAATTCAGAACTACAGAGTTCATTCTGACCTTTGCTCTGTATAGTGTCTGGACCCCTGCCAGCTTGACTTCACACTTGTGCAGTTATTTCCTCTGCCATGTGCTTGCACATTTTTTCCTTTCCAAGATTTCGGGAAGGTTTTCCTTAGCTAAACCCCTTAACAGCTCACAGTTTACATTTTCAATTCTATTTGACCTAGTGAGTTGAAATGCTTGGGTTTCCTCAATAACAAAGCAGGAAATTATGTGCAAAAAGTCTTTTAACAGAAGATTGCATCATAATAAGAATTTGATATCTTGAATTTTTCCCAGTCAGCTTTTGGCTCTGTGTTGGATTGAAAGTGTAGCATCTCCTGTTGTGTGTGATAGCGTGTGATCAGTCTGCTGAGCACACTTTAACTGGTGGGACTGCACACACAACTTAATCCTACTTTGCAAAGCTATGAAACTTAACAGTGATGGCAGAGTAACCACAAAACCTCTTTTGCATCAAAGGAGAAGCCTGGATGTGATGAGTAATCAATGAAAAAACACTTCACTGTTGGTGAGAGGCACCAGTTGGAGCAGTGTTTCAGACTACTCCTCACCTGCCAGTACTGTTTTCTCCAGGGCATAAAGTAATGCTGAGGACTGCAGGCAGCCCTGGTTTGGATGAGGTGTATTTTGCCATTCCAGAAGCTGTCATCTCAGTCCCAGTGTCATGCTTGCTCAAGCAAAACACTTTTAAGAGCTGGCCTTGCTGTTCTCAACCATTGTAATGCTGCCTAGCTTGGTTTTCTGGGGGATGATTTTGTGTTACCTGGATGGCAATGTGCTTTTCACCCCTATTTACTTTGCATGTGTTTGCTGCTCTCCAAGAGTGGCATCTGAGGGGTGTGTGCCTTGTTCACATATTGGGTTATTTCATGCCTTGTTTTGACGAGCTCCTCACTATCCATCCAGCTTATCTTTGGGCTAGAGAGACTTTGATACTTGTACTGAAGCTGTGAACTAACAGACCTGATACCTGAAACTTTTTCCATTGCCTGTATAATCAGTGTTGTAGAAACTTACCTGTGCCACAAACAGTTAGTTAAGAGACAGTATTTCTCCAGAGTGACTGCTGCAATAAGGTGGGAGGCTTTTTTTCTGGATCAGAAGCACGCAAATGGAAATGACTCCATCTTTTTTTCCTTCCCATGGCAAGCTGCAGTCGTCTCAAGTCTTCAGCTTGCGTTGACTTTCACTTGGAAGGCAGTTGTCAGTGGGAGCAGAGATGCTTTCCCTTTCTGGATCATTAGTAGCAGTGCTGGGATCCTGCACAGCAACTCCAGCCCCCTGAGACAGATGGAAGGGAGCAGACTTGGTTGTGAAGTGCTACCAAGCTCCTTTCATAGCAAGCTCTCCTACCAGGCTTTTTTTTGGCAGCGGTGCAGCTGCTCATCCAGATGACACTGCTTCCTATCTGAATTGGCTTTTCCCTCTTTTACAATTAAAAATGCAATTATGGATTGCTTCCCTTTGTCTTCAGTCCTCGAGGAGCAGCTCCAGCTGTTTGATCTGATCTGAGAAGCGTTCCCTCTGCAATGGCAGCAACTTGGAGTGCTGTCTCAGGGAACTGCAGTTCAATGAGTGGCAAAGCCTGCAAAGTCATTCTGCTGCGATACTGTCTCTTACCTCTTTGTATATCCAAAGTTAAAAATGCCTTTTCTTTATCATTGTGTTCCACTAGGTAAAACCTATTAACTGTTTCTGTAAACAAGTTATTGTATGTAGAATTCTATAAATCTGACTGATGGAACACTACATATTTCCTTATGTATTTACTGACCTGTGTTTTTTGCTACTTTTTTCTTTTCTCCCCCATCCCTGAATATTTTTTTTTCTTCCCCTGATCCGGAATTTCTTTGCCAACTGACTGCACGGTACTTCTGCTTCCTGTTGTTGCTTGAAACAAAAAAAAACCAAAACCAAACACACATATTCCCCTTTCAAAACAAACCAAACCAAACCAAAAAAACAAAACAAAACAAAAAACCAAACCAAACCCTGCTCTTCGGAAACCAACCTGCCCTTCAATATTAACCATCTTGAAAACTTCATCATCCATCAACCAATTTCGCCATTTCCGGGGATTCTGCCCTTCCTCGTTGTGGACGATTTGTGCAACCTCGCTCTCCCCTTCGATTCCTTACCTCTTCCCTGTCCCTCCGCTGCCTTGCTCTGCTGTTCTCTAAAGAGAGTTACACCCCAATGCCTCTTTATTCTTTTCGGTATGTTATCATTCACACTTTTTATTACCTTGTTTTTTCATTTATTTGAGATTTACTTTTATTTTATTTTTTTTGATACTTCAGAAATGTACAGTTTGCAGTTTGCCTTTTTTTTTTTTGTTGTTTGTTTTGAATGCATAATTTTACATTGTTTAGTTTGCTATTTAATTTAGTTTGCCTTTATTTTACGTTCAGTTATGCATGATTTATTGCTTTGCATGTCTTTTTTTTATAAGAGTTTTAAATTGTGATAGCATGCTAAATTGTTCAGTCTTCTGGCAGTTAGATTTTGGCTTTTTTTTTTTCTTTTTTTTTGCTGAAACCCAGTATCTTTTCTTTAATGTATTGTTCCATTATTATTCTGCTATATAAGAATTTTCCTTAAGTAGAGCAGAATAAGTAAAACGTGGTTGGAATGAGATCAGTTCTGATTGTGAATGTTTTTTGCTCTTGGATTGGTTAGCTAAAATGAAATTGTGGGAGGCTTCCTTCCTACCCCTCCCTAAGACTGTTTTTGTTTCCTCACTTTCTGAAGGAGTCTATGGTGATGTGCAGAGGGTGAAGATTTTGTTTAATAAGAAAGAGAATGCCCTGGTTCAGATGGCTGATGGAAACCAGGCTCAGCTTGGTAAGCAAGCTTAAACCTATCGACTGGTAGCATGAAGAGGCACGGGGTGGTCAAAGCTTTCTGCTCTTTAAGGCAAAAACAACTCCTTGTGTTAATTGCTCATCTGCATCTAGCATTGATTTGATGTAGCTCTGAAGAAGCGATGGGTAATTTGTGCCAGATAATCCAGGGGTAAAATAATGGAATTATCAGTACAGGTTTTTGCTGTGAGAGCGGTGAGGTGCTGGAACAGCTGCCCAGAGAGGCTGTGATGCCCCGTCCATCCCTGGAGGTGTTCAAGGCCAGGTTGGATGGGGCCCTGGGCAGCCTGGGCTGCTGTGAAATGGGGAGGTTGGTGGCCCTGCATTGGTGGGGGTTGAAGCTTCACGATTCCTGAGGTCCCTTCTGACCCTGGCTGTTCTGTGATTCGAAGGCAGAATGATGATGCCTGGCACTGTGCTCCTGGGAGGTGCAGCATCCTGCCTGGGGAAGAACTAAAATGAGGTTCTGGCTTTGATAAAAGTGCCTGAACAGAACTGAAATGCTGCTGTTCTCTGCTCTGTGTCGCACCGTTGCAGCCATGAGCCATTTGAATGGCCAGAAGCTCCATGGGAAGCCAATCCGTATAACGTTGTCCAAACATCAGACAGTGCAGCTCCCTCGTGAGGGCCAGGAGGACCAAGGTCTGACCAAGGACTATGGGAATTCTCCTTTACACCGTTTCAAGAAGCCGGGCTCCAAAAACTTCCAGAACATCTTTCCTCCTTCTGCCACTCTCCATCTGTCCAACATTCCGTGAGTATCGGTGTGGGGATCCTCCTGTGGTGCTCGATGTGGAGATGTCCACAAGTTCAGGGTGGGGGTAAAATGTGACTTTTAAGTGCTGACAGGAGGGAAGCTTGCTTGTCTTGCTGTCCTTCTTCAGCCTTTCCAGTCTGAGGAGCTGTGCTGTTGGTAGAGAAACTCAGCAAAGGCTCTGAGGGGAGCTGTTTTACCAGTCTGATGTGTATTTGACTGAAAAACAAATAAAATTATTGATTTCAGGCCTTCAATAGCTGAAGAGGACCTCAAGATGTTGTTCTCAAGCAATGGTGGGATGGTCAAAGGCTTCAAATTCTTCCAGTAAGTAGTTGGTTGTTTTTTTTTTTTCCTTCTTAAATCCTGTCCTTAAATTAGGCTGAAAGGGGTAGAATTGCCTGACATCAAAATCTAAAGCTAAGGGAACAGTGAGCAGCAGTGTCACATAGCAATCCAACTCAGCTGGAGGAAAGAATTCAAGAGCAACCCTGGGTATGGAGTGCATGGTTGATAAAGCTGTAAGGTAGCTGAGTGAGATTTTGGGGTAAGCATGTTGATCTTACAAGTGAACTTTATCACATAAAGACATCGTATGGCATTTATCCAGGTAGGTAACATTCTGCTTGACCTTGAGCACTAAGGGATGAAGCTTGCACTGACCTCAGCTGTGTGCACTGGTGCTGAATGTGACTTAAACCTCTTGCTTCTTGTCAGGAAGGACCGTAAAATGGCTCTGATCCAGATGGGCTCTGTGGAAGAAGCCATTCAATCCCTCATTGACCTCCACAATCATGACCTGGGTGAGAATCACCACCTGCGTGTGTCCTTCTCGAAGTCCACCATTTAAAGCTTGGGAAGGCATGAGACAAAATGGACTTGACTCAACCTCTTGAGTTCAGCCTCGACCCTAAAAAGGGCTGAACACGAGGGTTTCAACTTCCATCATTCCAGAAAAAAAAAAAAAAAAAAAAAGCCACTTTAAAAATGCAGCTGAAGTGACCTTAAAAAAGACCAGAGATTTTATTTTTTTAAAGAGAAATCAGTTTACCGGTTTTTAAAAAAAGAAAAGAGAAAAAATTAAATCTTAATTCATATCGCTAACCTTGAGGTGATGGGTAACAATCTTGACTGTTCCAATAAAATATCACAAGTTGAAGTTTACACTTTGGAACCTGCTCTGGGAAATTCGCCTCCCGTCCTGTTGGGTCGGCGCCCCCCCCCCCCTAAAAAGCAGATCCCAACAAGTTTTATCAGGTTTCACATGGATGCCTTTTCTTTTTTCTTTACCCATCCATGCCTTGAAAGACCTAAAACCACTGTGTACGTTCACTTTTGCGCCTTTTGAGTCAGGATTTTGCAAAAGGTCTGGTTGTAGAGGAGCTCCCAACCCAACTAGCACAAAACCGAGTTGCATTGATCCTACCTAAACTGTGCATCTGCTACCCTGTGCCTTAAACCTTTTCCTTCTTTTTTTTTGGGGAAACATCTGAATTGTGGAGGTCGGATGGGAGAGCGGAGGGGAAATGAAGGAGTTCTGGCTCACTAGATCGACTGGTAGGGAAGAACTAATCAAGCTGGCAGAGTGGATAAAGAAAACATTGGGCTCTGGCTCTCCAGGCAGTTGCATCCCACTGCTGTGACTTGTCTCCATTGCGTAGCATCACGTGTTCTTGTGCCACTTTCCAATCTGCTCGTGGTTTTAAGATCCCTGGTGTGACATTCAGACCATGGAAGGGTCTGGGTGGGGGGACGTTCCTGAGACCAAATGGCATTCTGTTGTCAGCAGGGAGCCAGCAGGCTCTGCCCTTCCCAGGAAGAGCATTGAGATGCAGCATTAACCACTGCTGGACGTTTGTGAAGACAAATCATTGAGAATTTGTCAGAACTGTACGTGTGTGTATATAGATCTCTAAATACTTGGCTAGGATTTGAAGAGTTATCAGCTATCCCACATCTAGAAAGGTGTTCATGCAAGTCACCTTCGTGCCCCCGATTTGAAATTAACAAGACCAGTGTAGCTCTGCCATCATTCTTATAGCGTGTCTTCAGCATTCGAGCTTTTTGTTTTAATTCTTGTATTATACTTCTTGATGCAGTTGCTGTCATCTGTGCCTAGCAATATTTCCAGTTGACCAAATATTCTAATCTCTTTATATGCAAAAGAAATAGTTTAAGTACCTTTTTATAGAATGGTAAGATGGTATAAACGTACTCTAAATTTACTCCTTTGTGATATTACCCTTGTATACTGTACTTTCTCTTTTTTTTGTTGTTGTTGTTTTATAATTGAAGCTGTAGGGCAGTGATTTAGTTACCAGGCTGAGGTCATGACTGAGGATGAGGATGTGATGACGTGGGTGAAACACGCTGAGCAGGCTTTTAAAGCGAGGTGTAGGAGAAACCAAGCGCCATTAGCTTGTGGATTTAAGGACCAGGCTCAAGTTTTTCCACATTTTTAACCTATAAGCCCAGATATTTTTAAGTTATAGGAAGGGAATTCATGATGAGTAGAACGCAGCAGATCGTTTTCTCCCGGTGATGAAACAACCTCTGTGTTTTCTGGCTTACGACTCTTTCCCAGGCCGTTCTGCCTTCTATTTCGTGTAATCCAACGTTGCCTTACATTTCCCTCTAACCTGCAACCTGTTTGGATGCAAAATAACAAGAATCTTGTACTTGATTTCAGGGTGTTTTTTTTCCTGCAAATTGTGGACCAAAGTTTTGTTTCTAATTGTCTTAGTGTTGCAAGTTACGGTTTCCTTGCTTGCTGTGGGAGCTCTGACTTGCCCAGCACTGAGTGCTCAGAAAAGTCTTAACTTTTCTTCGTTCCTCCCTGAACTCTTGAGGATGTGAATTATGCTGGAGAAGTGTGTGAAGTCTGAGTGAGGGTTCAGCTCGGGTTGCTGGCGTGAGATCTGGAGCGCTGCCTGCCCCCAGCCTTCGCTTGGTGGCTGAGCTGCAGCCGTCAGCGCTGCCTTCGGTTCCCTGGCCGTCTGAGCAAAGCCTGCTCGTGGCATGGCAGATCTGCCTCTGTGAGCTCTGTGTTCCCTTGCATTCAGCAGTGCAAATCCAGATGTCTCGGTGGTAGCTGGAATCTGTTTGCTCGCCTCCCTTCTTAATGGAGGGGAGCAGCAGAGGCTGCGTCCTGCTGCAGCTCCTGCCTGCCCTGCAGCCGCAGATCCGCGCGCGGCCCAGAGCAGAACGGCTGTGCTGTAGCTTTCAGATGCGTTCCATCCACCTCACCCGAGATGCTGGGAAGAGGCTCATTGGAATGAAACCTGTCTGGGTGGCCTTGAAATGTTCCTTTGGTCGACCCACAGGCCCTGTGTGTGTTTAGCAGAACGCAAGCAAGCGAATTGAGGTAACCCCAGAACCCAGACGTGGTGGGTTTTTCCTTTGGATCCCTGTGTTTGCATGTAAAGAATGTGAGTAACAAAAGGGTGTACATATTTATAATTTTTTTATACCTGTTGTAAGACATGAGGGGGCAGCAAAACCCAGTTGTTTTTTTTTTTTATGGTGAACAGATGTATTGTATATTTTGATACCAGCTATTACAGGTTCAGTATTGTGGAAAGTGGGGTGGGGAGGGTAAGCGTACACGACATCGAGAATTCCATTGCCTCTTTCAAAGAATGTTTGTAATGCAAAAAGAAATTAAAACTATTTTATAACAACCTTTGTACCTTTCTGTAGCTCCATTATTTACTGTTCAGATTGTAGAAAGCAGTTATTGGCCAGTCTGTACTTGTGCTTTCAATAAATTTCTTCTGTATTCTTTGCTTCTGATTTCCCTCTCTCTTTTATTGTGCCTATTTTGCTTCTGATTATTTTGTTGTTTTTTTGTTGTTTTTTTTTTTTCCCTCCCTTCTGTTGTAATTCCAGCTGCCTCATGTGTTCACTTTGACCTCTCCCATACCTCTGGGTGCAGCAAAGGATGCTGAATGGGGGCTGGTGGGGGCTGGAGCAACGCTCAGAGGTATGGGGTTACAGGGCCTTCACTGATGCTCTGCCTTTGTCCCATTCCAACTCTTTTTGTTTTATTTTTAATTCGTGTTCCTTAACTTTCCATATATTTCTAGCTAATATCCATGAAATAACCCAGCTTTCCAGTCCGGTGATGTCGTGCTCTCTGAAGTTTCGTGCTTTGGATGTTTCCCAGCTGCCTGGTGCCACAGACCAGATCCCACCACCACCACCAGCAGTAGCCGCCTTCATTCCTCTTTCCATCTCTGTTATTTCAGTTCTTAGGGTTTGTTCTACAAACACTGAAGCTGTGCTGGTGCACAGAGCCCAGCTGGGGCCACAGAAGCTCAGCCTTGTGCCCGGGGGGGGGGGGGGGGGGCCACCCCCCCCCCCCCCTCTTTTAAAAGCCCCCTTTGTGGGCCGCTTAGGGGGGGGGGGGGGCCGACAAACCCCAGTGTGAGTGCAGGGTGGAGGCAGGGCTGCACGGGCTTCCTGTTGCCTTCTGCTCCCTGCCCAGCCCTGCAGCTCCGCTCTGCTGCCCTTCCCCTGGTTGCAGGCTCAGGAGCTGCCCCGTTTCCCCCCTCAGCGTTGCCCTATCACAGCTCCCCGAGCCCTGCAGCGTGACATCCTCACTGTGAACGCTGCACATCGCTCAGAGCATCTCGTGCTGCCGGAGCTGTTTGCTGTCCTTCGGCTCCTTTCGCACCGGCGTCGCTCGCTGCCTCTTCTTTCATGGGCTGCAGCCTCCGAGGTCACCGCGCTGCGTTGTGCGGGAGCCTCGGGCCGTTGAAAAGAGATGGCTGTTACTCCTTGAAAGCCTGATAGCATTTGAAACAGCTGCCCCTTCACCTGCTTGGCTCCGGTGCGTTGGAAGTGATGCTGAGCCCTCCCAGCTGCCGGGATTGGGCAGGGATGGGTTGGGGTGGAGGTGATGCGGCGGAGCGGGGATGGATGCTGCGTGTGCACGGATGGGATGCGATGCTCCGAAGCGACGCTGCGGGATGCTGCGCTGCCTTTTGTCCACGTGCTGAAGGACCAACATCCGCCCTTCCCCGTGTCCTTAGAAGGGAGGTGGGGATGGGGGGGGAACCTTCGACCCCCGGAGCGTGGAATCGAACCCGGAGGGCGGCCCTGAGCCCAACGAGAGCCGGCGCTGCTGCGTGCGCCCGGGGTTCCAGGAGCAATTAGGGATTAATGAGCTTTCTCCCCGGCATTCCCAGCGCCCCGTCGGTCCCAGCCTTTTTTTGGGGGGGGGGGATGCTGGTTGCTATGGGAACGGCGGGGTCCGCGAAGCGGTGCGTGACGGCGTTTGTCACCGCGAGGAATGGGGACAGCGCGGGGTCACCGGGGTGGGTGGGGGGGACGGGACGAACCTCCGGGAGCACCCCCCCCCCGTCGTAGGTATTCCTTTGGGAGCGACCCCGCGTTAATCCCCGCACGCATTTCCAGCCCCGCGCTGGGTGATGGCGGATAATCCATATGTTTGCCAGGCGGATGCTGCGGGATTTCCACCGCTAATCCAATTGACAGAGGCGCTTTAGGGCCATCTTCCCATCACCGCGGTGCTGGAGGAGCGGGGGCCACTGCTATCCCCCGTCCCCCCCCCCCTCCGGCTGTGTTACACCGCGGGGTTCAGCGCTACGGAGCTGCTCCTGGAAACCGGCGGTCCTATAACCGACCCCCCCCCCTTCCCCTCCCCGGCCGGTTTATGGGCTGCGACAAACGGCAGCGGCTCAGCAGCTGCTGCTCAGCGCCGGGCCGGGGTCGCTCAGGGTTCCACCGCCACCAGATGGAGATGGACCGGGAAGGGGGGGGGTCCGGTTGCCGCCTCCCCGCTCGCTTAGCCGGAGCTCTGTGTACCCCAGGGTGGTGAGGAGGGTTGGGGGGGGGGAGGTGAGGACAGCTCGGGGACCACCGCAGCGGCGGTGCCACGCGGGAGCTGAGCTCGGAGCACGCATCCCTTCCGTTACCACAGCAACAGGGGTGGAAACCGCAGCGGTGGCACTTCGTCGGGCGGCTCCGCAGCCGAGAGGGGACCCTGTGCTCAGCACGGACACCGCAGGATCCTCAACCCCCCCCCCGTCCCCCGTCCCCCGAGCCTCCCTGGCCCCCATCACAGCTGCGAGGAGAGATCTCCCCACTCCCGATCTTTCCCCTCTCCGAATTCCCCATAGCGCAGCGCCCTCCCGGGCCAC